CCGGAGGCTCCGGGCCCAACTTTCGCGTGGGTTTTCTCTAGAGGAAGGCTGATAGTGTGTGCGTGGCCAGTGGGACTGGAAGGCGGTGTAGACCACTGGAGGGACAGTACAGGTTCCTGGTAGGGACCCTGCCTCCCCCGGGTCCCGGGACACTCAGCACCCGAAGGGGAGGCATGGGATGGCGCCTGGCATGGGGGGCGGCTGGGCTGCGTTGCCCTGGAGTTTCCTACTTTCTCTGGGTGGAAGCCCGCTGGGAAGTTTGGGTGGCCCGGCACAGGCACAGAGGGCAGCCTGGCCAGCTGGGCGCCCGCGCTCTCCATAGCTGAAGAGTGCGGATGCAGGGCTGGGACTCCGAGGGCGGGCCGCGAAGGTGCGGAGGAGCCTTTCAGTAGCCACTATTTCCGAAGAGCTGGCAGGTATAGGAGCGGGCGGCTGGGGTTCTGGGCTTCTCCTCTAACTGTGCTGTGTGCTTTGAGTCTGCTTCGAGGACGCACAGCGCCGTCCCCACTGCGCCAGGGATCTGATGCTCGGTCGCCCCAGTGGAAGTGCGCCTCGCCCAGGCCACCTCTCAGCGGCGGGCCACAGGCTGAGGGCTCCGTTAAGCCGGCTGCGCGCTGCACGCCTGCATTCTGTAGTCGCGGGTGAACACCCCAGGAGTCTGGCGGCTCCTATGCGCAGATCCGGCCCTCAGCCCAGGAGCCTGGGGGACCCTGTCGCTGGACCCTTGTCCTCGGCTACCTCTTGGGTGGGGTGCAGGAGAGGGCGGCTCCACGGAGCAGTGTGTGCCCGTGGGCAGTTTGGAGAGCCTTAGCCCGGTGGCCTGAGTGTGCTGTGCACAGGTGGTGACACAGCCTGGCCGGCCCCATGTCGGAGTGCTGGCCCTCACCTTCCTGTTCTCCACGGGAAGCTTGGGCTGGCCGAGTTAGCAGAGCTGGGGTGTGGGCTGTGGGTGTCCTTGGACCAGCTGGAAGGGGAGCTGGAGGTCCCACTCCCTCTACCCCTGACCTCCATCCCCACCCCTCTCCCGCTCTGGCTGGGCAGAGGTCTCCTGTAGCCAGCACAGCCACTCTGCAGGGAGCACAGTGTGCCAGACCTCGCCCTGCCACCAGCTCTGGGGCTGCGGCTTGGCATTTGGTGGGGGCTCCCAGGCCTCAGAAGGCTTTGGGAGGAAGGTTGTGCTTCCTCCCAGGGAGCCCCCCACTGCTGGGCTCTGCTGCTGGACTGGGGTTCCCGCACCTGGCCTCTCCCCCTACTTCTCCTGTGCTGCCTGCCTCTGGCTGCCTGCAGTGTTCACAGTCTGAGCCGGCACCGGGGGGAGGGGTGCTGGGGCCTGGCAGGAGCTTGGCTTCCAGGGGCCAGGGCAGGAGGGCCACATCCCACTGCCCTGCTGTGTCCTGGGCACAGAGCTCGCTGGGGTCCCCTCACTCCTTTGCACTTCTGGAAGCACCTGGATGGAGGCTGACCTGACTGTCAGGGAGCATGTGTGAGGGGCTATGAGTGTGACATGAGTGTGTAAGATGTGTGTGTGCGTGTGTGAGAGATGCTGTGTGCGTGCCTGTGTTGTCAATGAGCGTGTATGAGTGAGGTGCTGTGTGCATAGGTGTGTGTATGTGGGTATGTGTAAAATACTATGAGCGTGACTGTACATGTGAGTGTGCAATTTGAGTGTGCTATGTCCCCCCAGTCTCCTGAGCTCTGGTTGGCCTGGTGGAAGGTGACTGGGCCCCCACCTTCACCAGTGGATGGGTCCTTGGGTGGGGTGTCCGCAGAGTCGGTCGGAGGTCTTGGAGACTCGGGAAGGTCCTGGGCTATGGCCCTGGGCCTGCATTCTGTCCCTGGCCGCTTCGTCTCCAGCTCTCTCCTGTTTCTTGGCCACAGTGATGTGGGTAGCTTCCCCCTGCCATGCCCTTCAGCATGTGTCCTGCCTGGGAGCCCCACCACGGACTAAAACACTGGAACCAGGAGCTGAAGCCGGCATCTCCTCTTCCGAGATGTTTGTGTTTGCAGTTCTGTCACAGTGATGAGCAGCTGACACACTGTGTGTGAGTGGGAGGTCACGAGAGCACGTGACTGTCGAGTTGGGTTGGGGACAGAGCGGGGGGAGGCCTGGCCCACAGCCCCCTTGAGTGCTGGCTGCCTTGGAACGTGAGCAGAGCTTCCGGGGGCCGGGCAAGAACCTGGTAAAGAAGATGCCACCTTCCTCCTCCCATGCGAAGTGGCCGTTTTCAAGGTTATAGGAGGGTTTCAGGTCTGCCCGCTCCCAAGCCACTGCTAAATCAAATATTCAGGTTTCCCTCACATCCTGGGCATGGGGAGTGCAGCGAGCTGCCTGCCATTAGAATCGATTTCACATTTTAGCTGTCTATTTTTACATCTGGGCAGGGCTGCTTCAAAGCCCAGCCTTTGAGGAGGCTGAGTCTCTTTCTCAAGCCCCTTTCTTTCACAAGGGTGCAAAGTTCCCCTGCAGAGGCACAGTCAGCCCTGGCCTTTCCACCGCTGAGGGTTGTGAGAACCGACTGCCTTTGTGAGCAAGCTGACGTGTGTTTTGCTTTTTCCAGGAGAAATGTACAGAGAAGTGAGGAGTGAGGGCGGCCACTCTTCTCAGGCTGTGCGCTTCTCCAGGGTCTGTGTCCTAGGAAAGCACAGAGACGTAGCAGAACGTGTTGTTTACCGTCCAGAGTGAACATCTGCATACTGATATCTACATCCACTGCCCTGGGCCTTCTAAATATCTCGAAAATTACCTGTGACTCCTTGGTAGCATCTGATTGTATGATACATGATAAACGGCAAAAATGTTTCATGATACTATAAATCTTTAATAATTGTAGCGTCTGGGCACGGGTGAGCACTTTACATGTAGGAGTACTTTTACATTTATCTTCATTTAATTCAGCATAATTGTGTTTTCTAGCTTGTTTTGGGGGGCGCTGGGGGTTTCCTGTGGGGAGGGCACCCAGACCTTGTGCATGCTGAGCTGCGCCCTGGGTGGCTTGCCTGGAGGTGTGCAGTTCGAGTCCACACTGCGGTTAGGGAGAGGTTGGTGCTCTGCAGTCTAGCAACCAACTAATGCTTTGAGAAAAAGTGCGCTTGGATAATGTTGCACAGGCAGAAACTTTTTCTAAATCTCTCTTTAGAGATATTTGGATTAAAATCAGAGTAAAAATATGAGGTCACTTCTGAAATGCATGTAGGTATGGACATCTAAAGTGACCTTCTCCCCGCTGCTCAATACTTCCCCCAGGCAGCGGACCTCGTTTTGAAATCGCAGCCATGGCCCAGGACGTACAGGCAATGCTGCTTTGTGTGTCACTGCGGATCTTCGCCCTGACCCTGACCAAGGAGTGTCCCCGGTCCCGGGGCTCAGCCTGGAGGCCTCCTTGCTCCTTCTCAGCCTTACTGGTCACTATTTGTCACTCTGCTTGTTGCTCTCGAGAACAAAGACAGTAGGGAGCATTCGGCGTTTGTTGGTAAAGAAAATATTTTAAAGCGTTTAACTCATGTAAAGTGTTTTGGGGAACGTGAGTAAAGGCATTCTGTCACCACAGCGGTGATGCCTGTCTCACCCTCTGTGGACTGCTGTGTGTTTATCCCAGTGGGAGGTGAGCTCGGGGTCACGCCCTGCCATTCCACCTGCAGACACAGTGTCTTTTCTGCCTGTTCCTTCTTTCTAGGGCCTTCTTTTGGGTGTGGCTGTGTGGTGGTGTGTACCATACAGCTTGTGTTTGCCTGGCCGCACAGGGCAGGTACTGTGGGGCATTGGTGACACCAGCCACAGGGCTTAGGAGTGGCAACTGGGAGACACTGGCCTGGCAGATGTTGGCAGGACCAGGAGGGGCGGCAGGAGGAGGTGGGGCTCAGAGGAGCCGCTTAGGGTTGCCTGATCAAATCCTGCAGAAGTTAGTATGTGGCAGGGAGGGTTTGGGGGCTGTCAGGGTTTTCTCCCCCGTTTTACTCCGGCTTGCAGATCTCTCTGATTGCATATTTCCCACTAACCTGCAGATCCCCCTAGAATGGTACGAAGGTCCCTATGCCTCAGTCTCATAGTCTTCATTCAGTCTGACTTGGTTTTTAAGGTGGGATTTTCCTTTTGGGCCCTTGTGTGACCAATAGCCACTTGTCCCCGAAGGCTCGTAGGATACTGTGTGTACTGTCAGAGTGTTTTGCACTGCATTCAGGGAATTTAAGGTGGTGAAGCATGCCCAAGTATATCAGCAACTGCAGATGCTGTGTGTAGTGTACCTCCGCGGATCCTGTGAGATTTGCGGATCTGAACAGTCATTCTGAGGACAAGGATTCAAGTCAACAAAATAAGCCTCCTGTTAAGTGGAGAAGAAGCTGTACCGGGAAACATCTGGGCATACCTGGCACCAGCGTGGAGGTTTGTTGCGTCTGCTGGCATCTGCCGGGCTTTCCTGGGAGACCAGAGGCCCCCTGTGGAGGCACCGCCCCACCCCGGGGTCTAACAGCATTCTGTTCTGGGGGTCATGTATCCTGGCTCAGCTCAGCAGACAGCTGCTGAACTGCTGTGATCAAGCTGGGTCTTGCACGTGTAAAGCACGAGGGTGACGCCCAGCCCCAGGGAAATGCTCCTTACAGTGTACGAGAGAATGGGATTCTCTGCTTTTTCAGTTTAAAAAGTGTGTTTGTCAGCCTTCTGTCGCTTGTACATGTCCCTGAGGTAAGCAGCCCCCACTGAGGAGAGCTGGGCAGAGCTCCATAGGGACTGCTGGTCCCTTTCCCCAGGGCCCTGTGCTGTGAGCTGTGGTGGCCCCGTGCGTGTGTGCCCCTCACCCCATGTCACTTGGGAAGAGAGAGAGACACACACACAGACACACAGACACACAGACACACACAGACACACACACACACACACTCGTGCGCACTGAGCGAAGGAGACTGTTGTCTGTGCTTCCCAAATCCCTCCTTGGCAGGTCTCTCAGGGTGAGAATCATGCCACGTTCACACCTTTATGCAGGGTGGGAGGAGGCAGGAGCGCAGGGTTGGGGTGCAGATGGCGGCCCTGGCAGTGCTCTCTTCTCTGAGGAGCTTTGTGCTCCCCGGTTCCCAGGACAGAATCGGAAGACTCCATGTGGGCCTGATTGCTGGGACCCCCTGCAGTTGGATCCAGCTGAATTTATTGATTAGGGTCTCAAAGTGAGGCTTCCGACTGTCGGGGTGACTCTGTTAGAATGGACTCAGGGGCTGTGTCGCCTGCGGGTGAGCCAAACCCAGCACGGGCACTTTGGACACACGCAGACATGTGCACGAGCACATTTATACGCACACCTGGAGCGGGAGGGAGGGAGATGAGGAGGTAAGGAAAGGAGGCAGGAGGGAGGGAGGAAGGAATGTGTTGGGATGGGAGAAGGAGGAAGGCAGGCTCTTAACTGGTGGCTTTTGGCCGAAGCTTGCACCCCAAGGTGACCCAGGCCCCAGGAGCTCGGTGCCAGCCCTGCCCTGGTGACCTCAGCGTAAGAATGGGGAGGTTTGGGGAGGCTGGGCAGGGAGAGTGATCTGTGCTGTGAGGTCAGCCTCTCCCCTGGGAGAGTTGGGGGCAGCCCTGCCCAGGCCCTGAGAAGTGGGGACAGTCAAATCCCGGGAAAGTGTGGCTCACACCTCTCCACAGCGCCAGAGATCACCGTGCTTCTTGTAGGAAGGAACCAGGACAGCTCATGCTCAGGGGAGCTCCGGGCTGGGCACTGAAGTCCTGTTGAGAGGCCAGGAGCCCCTGACACTGGGGGAGGGCCCTGCCGTGCTGCGTGGTCCACCTCGTCCTGTCCTCCTCCTCTTCAGTAGAAAGTCTGCATTCAGGGTGCTGAATCTGTGGGATGGCCAAGGGACTGTGCCTTAGCCAAGCGTGAATATCCGCTGTTTCCTTCCTGTCGTTTTATGGGGTGAGAAGGGTGCTCTAGCTGAGTGGGAAGTCCGATGCGGCATTGGGGTGCTCTGGGGCCCGGCGATGGTGAGTCTGCAGAGCCCTGTACTGGCTGGTCTGGGCCTGTCCTGCAGCCCTGTGTCCTTGACAGAGCTGTGCCACTCTCTCTTTCACAGTGTGCAGTGTGGACTGGGCAGATGTGGTAGTGTCAGGCCAGAGGGTCCGCCAAGCTTGGATGACAGTGACCTGGGCTGCCCCGAACAGGACCCTCGGGTGACGGACTCAGCACATAGTGGCTGTCATCCCCAGCTGGATAAAGTGCTCCAGCTGCTTACGCCCCCCACCCCCAGCAGCAAGGCCCTCAGCAGTGGCACAGAGCCCAGTCATCTCTCGAGGCGGAAGGCAGCCTGGGGTGGATGGCCCTGCTCTCCCCCTGCAAAGTCGGAATGTGACTCGGTGGCTTCCTCCTCCTGCCCAGGTGGACGACTGGCCACCCTGTGCTCCCCGCCCCTTGTCCCAGCAGAGTCTCGTGTGTGGTGTTAGAACCCTCTCTCTTCTCTGCCCACAAGTTCAGGGATGAGTTTCACTATTATCCCACCACGGGGCTTCCTCACGGCACAGACACTTGAAAAAAAGCACTTTCTGGAATTGTGGGTTTCTCTAACTTCAAGGATTTTGTCTAACCTTTGTACTTCAGTTTTCTGCCATGCATGGGGTGATCACAAAATATGGTGAATATTTAAATTAAAAGAATTTTTACAGTAAAAGGCTGATTGCCATTAATCCTTCTCAAAATTTTCCTCATTGCTTTGCCCACATTCCTCCCATCGCCCTTGCCACTTTCTGCAGCAGCTCTGGAGTCCTCTTTCTTGTTGTGCTGTCCTGGCTGCCTTGACTTCCTAAAGCCAGAAGTTACATGGTGCCAGATCCGGTGAATGAGGTGCATGAGGACACACAATTATGTTTTTGTGGAACTGCCTTTCTGTTGGATGGCCCTTGGCAGTGGCATTTGCTATAATTTTTTAATCACACCTTGTAAAGACACTCAGGCAAGAGGAATTCCAGAGCTGCTTCAGAAAGTGGAAAGACTGATGAGATCAGTGTGTTTGAACTGTATTTGATCAGTGTATAGCAGAGAGGCTTTGAAGGAGGATTTGTAGCAAATGTCTTTTACTGTAATATGTTCTTAAAATTTAAATGGACACCATCAGTTTTGATGAGGCCTTGTGTGAACACGTGTGTGCCTGTTCACTGAAAGACTCATTGAATAACTTCTTTCTTTTGAGTATTTCAGAAGTCTGAACATAGTGTTAAGGTCCAGCTTTCAACAGTTACTGGTTTCTCAGTCCTTAAGGATCCTAACATCCTAGTTTATCCTCTCCAGGACTTTTATAAATGAGAATTTTACCAGTATGGCAATTAACACCTTTTACTTGCTTTGCAGTGAAAAGAGAAAGAAAAACCCATGTGACAATGTAAAGTTTGACCGGAGCAGCATCCTTGAAGTGCATATTATTTTTAAAATTGTTTTCAGCTTTCTGGAACCACAGGAATTGATCTGTTTTCACTGTGGTCAGATCCTCTAGGTCAGCAGATTTGGCCACCGGGTACAGAGAGGTGGAAGGATAAGCCTTCCAACACAGCCAGGCAGCGCTTCTGCCCTGCGGTGCCACAGGGGCTCCTGAGGTCCCCAGGCCTGGGCTCGCCTGGGAGGGGCCTGGGAGTGAGTACAGGTGGGGTGGTGTGCAGAGGGTCCAGCTGGGGCCTGACCACAGCTCTGCAGCTGCACTAATGAGCGAGGCCACCTTACTGTGTCCCGGGGATGGTGTCTAGGCTGGCAGGGCTTCAAGACGAGACACTTTCAGGGTCCTTGCAGAATGATTCTGCACATACTTTTGAAGTCTGAAAAAGTAACTGCTAACCAACACACTAGGATTTGTACATCTAAATTGTTCTGATCTCTTAAAAAGCATCTTGTTTACATTATTTGTATTTCTCTCAAAAAAGGGTTAGGAGCTGCTACAGGAGATGTTACCATGTTGGCGGACAAAGTGAGGATCCTGCAGGGCAGCTGGCTGTGGAGGAGAAGCCTGGCTTTGGCCTCGCAAGTCTGGTGTGTCAGTGACCAACCTCACCTGCTGCCAGAACGGTCACAGGGACTTTGCTTCATTAGCAACGTTAAGAATATGTGTGTGTGGTCCCATTTGGGTTTGAGTGGCTGTGTGTATGTCTTTGTAGACATGAAGGACTTATACCATCACAGTGAATGATCAAACAAGCTGGAAAAGCCAGCTACACTGTAGTAATAATTGATGCTCATGGTCTCACAGGACACAAGACCATCAAAACGAGATTTGAATCAGAAGAAGATATGTTGAGTAAAATACAGAATTGACTTAGTTACTTTTCTCATCGCTGAGACAAAACAGTCAACACCCAAAGTTAAAGGAGGAAAGGTTTTTTTCAGTTCACAGTTTGTAGAGATTTCAGTACAAAGTTGGCTAGCTCCAAGGTAGGGTGGCATGGCAGAGAATAGACAGTCCATAGCAGGGAGGCAGAAAGTAAAGACAGCAGCAGCAGCGGCAGCGGCAGCAGCAGCAGCAAAACTATCCAGGTTGAAAGCTTATTGATTGGTGCCACCCACACCCAGGGTGAAGCAGCCCTAATCTCAGTATAACAACTTTAATCCACTAAATCCTAGCATCACACACCCTAGACCCAGCTACCTCTGAAAATTCCCACCTGTGACTGCGTGGGGGGGGCACATCTAGGTACAAGCCATGACAAGAATTAATCAGTGTGGCATTACAATGGCATTGTAGACCTTAGGAGGTCTTAGCTAGATAATTCTGTGAGACCAGGAGAGGAAAGGAAGATTCACAAATCTTGAAGTGAGTAGGGAAGAGCCCTGGGGCTCCCCATGCAGATGTTGCTGTCCTGGCTTCAGAGCCAGCTATGGGTTGTGGGCTCCTCCTCTTCCTCATCACCTTCCTTTTCCCCATCATTGTCTTCTTTCTTCTCTTCCTCCTTTTCCTCCTTCTGTTCCTTCTCCTCTTTCTCTTCCTCCTCTTTTGTCAAACTAATTCCAAGTGTCTGCTTCCCCAGGCTACCCTTGCCTGCTGTTGGCCTGGGAGATCAGACTCACTGGAGCTAGACAGCAGTGAAACACTCTTAGTGCACACCAGACTTGTGGGCCAGGCTTGTGGCCCTGAGCCATCTGTCTTTAGCCAGGAGAGAGGACAAGAGGTCAGGTTATAAGATGGGGAGAGGACATTGTGGAGTGGGGTGTGTTTCTCCTGGTCTGGGCTTTTCCAGAGATCCCTGGCTCCCCGGAATTTTTCATTAACCACTGTAGACCCCTTCAGCAATTGCTTCAGACTTCATTTGAGCTTGGCAGCTGCACAGTGGAGGGTCACAGCACATTTCTGGCCCCTGGTGGCACTGCTTGGCCACGCTCCCAGGTGTGGGACTCAAGGGTTAACGCTTTTATGTTTCCATGCATTAAAACCACCCTCACCTGCACTGATTTCCTGCCCTATGGTTATTTTAAAGGATGTGGCTTGTCCTGAGAAGCACCTCTTAAATTGGATATCAAAATATTTTGAGCAGTTTTTACAAAATGTCTGTCTTCTCAAAATCATCACCTAAAAGGGGACAGATCTCCAATACCGTCTTGCTCTTATGACACTGACTGCTTATTCACCTAGTGAACCCCACTCAGATTTTCCTGTTAGGTCTTCTCCTGGAATATGCATTTTAAGTGTAGTGCTGGCCAGGCGTGGTGACACACACCTGTAATCCCAGCACTCTGGGAGGCTGACATAGGAGGATCGAAAATCTGAGGCCAGCCTGAGCAACTTAGTGACTTAAAAAGACCTTGTCTCAAAAAAAGCTGAAAATAGGGCTGGGGTGATCAGTGTGAAGGCCCTGGGTCCAGTCTCCAGTACTACAAAATAAGAAGGAAAGAAACATAAAAAATACATAAATAACTGGTCTTCCAAGAAAAGGGAACAGTGCTGGTCCAACAGGCCCTGCTGGATATCTTTGCAGGGTGCCTCGTTGTGATAATGCTGCACACATCTGCATGCAGGATTCCTTTTCTAAAAGAATATACTTGAAGTGTGGCTGTCATAGTCCATGTCTGATTTTGTTTCTTTCCATTGATTGTTTTTATCACCCTCTGGTTCTGTTCCCACCCCATCCCATGAGCTCTGTTCACATTTCCCAGAATTCCTCAGGCCCGGCCGGGACCCGAGAGCGCATGCGCCCGCTTCCGGCCTGGCCACGCTTGGGTCCTGCGCTCTGAGGAAACCAAGTCTGACGTTTTGTCGATTTGCGTGTGTTTGTCCGTTTTGACGCTGCTGCTTTTTAGGTTTCTTTGTTCGCTGTTACCCACGCAGTGTGATGGTTTTCGATCTTGGGGAGGTCCCTGTTTCGCCAGCTTCCGGTCTGTGTCGTCCTATTCACGTCCTGACTGCGACTCCGTCTTAATAACCACGTAAGAGAAGTTTTTTGTTCTTTTCTTGCTTGATATTTTTCTCTCTCCTTAAAAACTAAACAACTGAGTTCACAGACACAGCCCGAGATTCTTGGTGGAGTCTCCCCGGCAGCACTGGCCCCTGTGGACCAAGGGGGATGCAGGCCGTGGAGACCCTTCCCGTTCTGCGGCCCTCACCACCGTCCTGGCTTCTGGCCCTTTGGCTCCTGTTGGGAAACATCTTTATTTTACATAGATTTTTCAGTATCTGAAGGCAGCAGTTTTGAGCCCAAGAGAAAGAACAATTTATTTATTTATTTATTTGTACGGGGAACTTAGGACCTTGCACTTGCGAGGCAGGCAGTGGAACCACTGAGCTAAATCTGCTGCCCGAAAGAACAATTCTGTGATTAGGCATTTTTAACAAATGCCAGCCCCAGTGAGGGAAACATTCTATGTGTGGTGAGCCAGTTCAGGGCAGCAGTCCTGAGAGCGGTTCGGCATGCACTGCTTCCCGCACCTGTTAGACCATTGCATCCCCAGTTTTCCCCTTGTCCCTCATGTGTTGGGGACACACCTTGGAAAATTTGGGACTTCTGGAATTTTTTCCTAACTGGAGACCAATGAAGAGAGGAGCTTATTCTGAGATCTGGGTCTTCTGAAGACCCCAAAGTTCTCCATTTAGGTCTGAGAGTAAAGCCAGCCCTAGGCTGAATGTCCTGTCCAGACTACCAGGAGAAGGAACTGGGTTGTCTTTATCTAGTTTGCTCTCTTATGTGATCATTTATTTATTTTTCAAAAGGGGAGAAACCTGATATTCTGGCAACTGTAGATCCCTGGACCTAAGCAGACTATACCAGCCTCTAGGTCACGAGAGACCCCGGCCAGAGCCAGCGAGGGGTAGACTGAGTCGGACGCCCACCTGGCCCGGCGATTCTGTAGCGTAGCCTGGAGGGTCTCTGTGTTCTCCTCGCACCATCTGTCCTCTCACACGCACCACTGTAAGCTGTGACATTACCTCCTGTGCTGTCCTGATGCAGTTAAAAACCAAACACTAAATCCTTTACTTGGCTGTAAACCTCAGTTCCTACACCCTCCTGCCTCCTGGAGTTGTCTTTCTTACTCAGTTACAGCTGCTTTTGCTACAAGGTTGTTGTCCTTGCTGCTTTCTGTGACATTCGTCCCCAGGTCCCCATGGGATGTCACCACGAGGCGTCTCTGCACACCCTTGCTGTGTCCCAGTGCACCTGCCACACCTGTATCTCACCATGCCATTGCTGTTGTCCTCTCATGCTCACTGGTGTTGGTCGCTCCCTGCCTCTTGTCTCCTCTGATTCCTTTAGTAAAGCACCTGGCCCCGTGTGATTACCCAGCTTGACATGATGCTGACACCGACACTGCAGAGGACGTGGCTCCTGCATGCTCCTCCACTAGCTTGTGTCTTGGGCTCCTCTTCTACACAAAAATGGTCACAGCAGTTCCTGCAAAATAATGTGGGTGAGGGTGTGGCTGTGCACAGGGCCCTGGGTTTGTTCCCGCAACATGCAGGTCCAGGAGTGATCTGGAGGGAGCACACAGACCTTGGCGGTGCCAGCCCCTTCCCTCTGCCTGCTCACCCCAGCAGGCTGCGTCCTGCCTGTGCAGCTGTGCCGTAGAGCACTGGGAGTGGTGGATTCCGGATGTGAAGGACGGATGTCCTTGTGCTGCTGTTAGCATATCCTGTCTGGGATGTGCCATGCCACTTCGAAAATCAAGTCAGTGAAAGCTAGTGCCAATAGAAAGCAATGTCCCAGCCCTTGGGGAGGACCCTGGGCCTGTTAGCCGGCTGTGGTGTCATCCTGTCTCCAGCTGGGGCCTCTCTGTCATAGACTCCCTTAGCTCTGGGTTTGCAGTTTCTTTCTCTCTTTCTTGGTGGTTATAACAGTACTTCATAAAGCCAGGACACTCTTCCCTGAAGTTAATCCATTATTTAGAGTGGGGCCTGTCTTGGTTTCCTCAGATACAGGGAGGAAACAATTCAACAATTTAATGAAGTGTGCTGCCTTTGTAGAACTCACCAGGCATGCCAGAAGTCATTTCGTTGTGTTTGTGATGGGGATGACTTACTTCCTTCCTCAACCATCTTGAGGTGAAGTTGGATTTCTGAAATTGCTGAAATGCCACATTCACCATCACAATACTGAGCCAATCCTGTTGATTTAATGGGGGTGCCTTTTATTTGCCAGACACATGGCAGTGTCTGAAACACATTTACATAGTTTTGGGGCTGTAAGCTCAAGAAGGGCTGGGTTGTGTTTTCTTGCTTAATGGTTTCCCATGTTCTCATCGGATGCCTGGCAGATGGGGTACGGCTGTTACCTACTCTAGTGTGTGTGTGTGTGTGTATGTGTGTGCGTGTGTGTGTATGGGTTATGGTTCCCATTTCATAGTTGTAAGTGCTCTGTGAAATAGGTAGCACTCTCGTGTTTATACCATGAGTAAATGGAAAGGAACTTGGTTTTACATGAGAAAAAAAAGAAGCTCAGAAGCACTAAGTACCTTTTTCTTGGTTGTTGGATATGAGGCAGCTGGTGGATCAGGACCAGGACATCAGTATTTCCATTTTTAGTCTAGTTTCAGCAACAGAGGAAGTTGTTCTCAAGTGCTGATTCTTACACATGTTGCTGATCTGGATATTTCGATCTGTGGTCTTCATTTCTGCAGAGTGCCTATTTAAAAAGACAACCTGACTATGTTCATCTGCCCATGTACAGCCCACAGGGAAACTGCACACCAGTGTTCAGATGGCAGTGTGGCATTTATTCCCAGGAGAAAGGCCGGTTTTTGCACAGCAGGAAGGACACTGTCCTTCCTCATCTCTCCAAGGATGCATCCAGGAGTTTGAGCCTGGGGCAGTCTCTTGTCCTCCACGCACCACGACAGATTTGGGAGGCCACACAAATGCAGCCCTGCTGGTAGTTTGGCTAGTGCTCCTGGGTTCTTTCCTGTTGCACAGTGCCATTGTCATAGTTTTCGGGCCAGATATAGTGGATGATTGCACTATGCATCGTCCACAGTGGGTGGCAGGAGGACAGAAAGTAAATTCCTTAACTTCTCTTGGGCCCCAGTGGAGGAGCCTTTGTGTCCCTGGGGAAACAGAAAGTAGTTGAAGCATTTGATCTGTGGTGGCCTTCACCTAGCCAGGTGTGCAGTAGCTCCCATTTCCAACTTCAGATGAGCCTGGAAGGTCGTTCACTAGGTTGTCATTCATTCATTGAACGAATCTGTGCTGGGTACCTGTTGTCAGCCTGAACAACTCTGACTGTACTTATCAAACTCTGATCAGTTAATTTTTATTGGAGAAGCACAGGTACAACTAACACGTACACTGCGACACTTTCATGTATGTGTACATTGTCGAATGGCTGGATTGAGCTCTTTCCCATATGCATTACCTCACATGCTTATTCTTCGGTGGTGAAAACACTTAACATCTACTCTTTTAGCAATCCTAACTTATCTCTGTTTAATAAACAAGATGGCAGAGCTCTGCGTGATATATAGATTTATTTGAATCCTTTATGTTCTTGAAAATGAAAGGATTCACTCCCAGATCTTCTGTGGTCATCTTTCACAAGAATACAGAGAGGTCTCTACTAATTAACCTAATAGTGAAATTTTTGCCCAGGAATGAAAAAGCTAATGGCAGACACTTCCCTGCTGGCATTAGCAAATCTGTGTTTCATAGGAAAGGATTAGTGACACACCCGTGGGCTGTGCCTGATCCATTTTTTAGTTAGCACTGTATTGGACGTGAAAGCAAGGTGGGGTTATGTGTATCTGGCAAGGGGGATAGGTATAGTTCGCTTTAACTCTGTACAAAATCCCGTGCAAGACCCACAGGTAGCGTTTGTGACTTGTTGGACATATTTTCCCCACTACTTTGAGTTTCTTAGGAGTGAGCATTAGAGATGCTATGGTAAGGGACTTCTTGGAATATTGTGGTAGATTTAGACTTATGTATTACGATAGATCTTTATAGTGCAATACTTGCTTTAAACACATGATATATATGTATATCAACTTTAATTCTCTGGGCGTTAGATGACTCAGACTTATTCTGTTTACTTTGAAACGATGAGGGCTTATCTGAGCCACCTGAGGACCACATGCGGTTAGAGTGACTGATATTGGGGTGGCCTCTGGCTTCTTCCGGTGAGGAAATGCATATCCAGTGTCTTGCGCACAAACCTTGCTGTATAGAAGGAGAGATGCTGAGACCTCACTGTTGTTACTTGTATTTTATTAATAGAAACCTCAATTTGTGAAATATTATGCTGAATTTTGGGGGGAACTTTTGCCAGTTTCCTGTGCAGCTTTGCTCCTGTTCCCATGATGGAGGATTTGTAGTGAAGCCGACTGTCCCATATGGAAGCTGAGTGTGCGCGGTCATCTTTGAGTCAGGAGTTAGAAGAAGGAAAATTACACTTTTAGTATTTCAGGCAGCATTTGTGAAATACCATTATTGATGGTGTTCATTGGCATGGGCATCTGCTGAGGACATTACAAAATTCCTTAGCTGTTCAAAATGAGACTATTAGAAGGTATATCTTGAAAATGTCTACCAGTGGTGCTGGAAAACGGGAAAGTCCTCTGTGAGAGGGAAGGAAGTGTTCTCACCCAGGGCAGGATCTTTACCTCACCTCACACTGTAGGTAGCTGAGCAGGAGGGGAGGCCAAGCTAGAGCGCGTGGGTGCCCTGTGTGTGAATGTCAGGGAATATCTGCAGCATCACCTCTCTGCTGGGTTTCATACTGTGACACAGCTTGCCCACTTTCTGTGTAAGGAAGGATTTTGACCTGTAAAATCCTCTGGAATTCAAATGAAAGTCTTGCCAGGAGAAATTTGAGAATGTTTGGGAGTAGAAGCAGTGATTGAGCAAGTTGAATTCTTCAAATATGTGAGAATGAAGTCATGCTCCTTCATCTTTCTTTTTGTTGATAGGATATTTTGATGCATGTTGTATTTTTAATAGAATTATG